TTTTATTGTTTCATCCAAATAGAACAAATTCTTTAGGGCATTAGCCTGAAAACTATGAATATAATCAACAATCACGCACCTTAAGCACACAAATAAAGCACCTTAAGCACACAAACAAAGCACATTAAGAAGACAAACCACGCACCTAAAGTTTTAAAATTGCGCACCTTAAGTACAAAAGTCACGCGCCTTAAGCACATAAACAAAGTACATTAAGAACACAAACACCGCACCTAAAGTTTTAAATTGGCGCACCTTAAGTTTCAACAACTAATGCACATTAAGCATACAAATCATGCACCTTAAGAAGGAAAGCAATGCACCTTAAGAAGGAAAACCACGCACTTAAAGCTTAGGTTAATGCATCTTAAGCACAAAAACTACGTACGAAAGAAAACCACGCACCTTAAAAACCGCACGGGAACCCATATATATATATATATATATATATATATATATATATATATATATATATATATATATATATATATATATAAAAGAGCGCTCATATGTGGTCATGTCATTAGGTGTGGTCGTATCTGTGTCGTTGAATTAGTTTAATCTAACGACAATGGTAATTCTGAGAATTTTCGCGCATTTTGGTAAGTGGGGGTGTTATGGTAATTACAGTGGCCATTTATAGCGGGCGGATTTCAGAATACACCAATAGTGTTGACAACATACACCAATAGTGTAATAAAACACACCACAGTGAAACACACCAATGGTGTATTCCCGTGTTATGGTAATTACAGTGGCCATTTATAGCGGCCGGGTTCCAGAATACACCAACAGTGTTGACAACATGCACCAATAGTGTAATAAAGCACACAACAATGTGATTTTCCCTATTTCGGTGTTTTATGACGAGTTTACCCTTGCAGTTCGCTGAGTAGGAGAATGTGCGCGAAAATATTGGAAAAATCTTGATTAATATGATTCATTGGATCTATCTAATCTAATGGCCTATAATTGACCATATGACCACACCTAACAACATGGCCACATGTGATCATCTCTCTCTCTCTCTCTCTCTCTCTCTCTATATATATATATATATATATATATATAATCCTAATCATATGATAACTACTCCTCATATGAGAACTTGTGGACAAATACAAACCATTGATCTGTAAGATTTGATGGATGGAAAATCAATTGAAAAATGAGTAGGTCATTTTCATAAATATTACAAAGTTTTGTTTGGACATGGTTCTCACCTGATTTTATATATATATATATATATATATATATATATATTAGTGATCAAATGAGTCAAACTTGTTATATGAGTCCGTGTGGACAGATATTGGCCTTCTATTTTTTGTGATCAATGGTGTCGATTTAATGTTTTTTTTTAAATAAAATCTCAATTTTAATTTTAGATAATTGTGATCTGTATTATTTGCTGGGGTATTTTAGTGATTTGCAATGTAATTGTTGGCCCCATTTTTTGGGGATTTTTTTTTGTTTTAGTTATGCTTGCTGGCTTTTAGGGTTAAGTTTGCACGGTTGACCTTTCTCTCTCGACTGTTCTTCACGTTGCACCTTCTCCAGCTTGTGCAGTTGCGTCGCCGGAATGAGGACCTTGCCGGCGATGTTCGAGGTCCCTGGATTTCTGGATTTCTCATTACCAGATTGCAGACCTCGCGGGCGATGTTTGTGGTGGGTTTTTTGGGGGGTTGTTTACTGCGCGTCGTCGGTGAGGAAGGGATTAGGTTTTTGGGTTTATATATTATTAGCATTGAAGAAGGTAAGAAAATATATAGTGGATGCATATGCATGGCAACAATAGTGGAAAAAAGATAACAGAAGTTGTAGGGGTAATTTTGTCCATAATATTGTATAATACTACTCTTATTGCATAATGTATACAAAAAAGTAATGGAAAAAATGAACAAAAATAAATGGTATAACTTTCGTTCACACTTATTAATTTTTAGATACTTAGGGTCTGTTTGGAAAGCAGGAAAATGACTTCTTGAAAATGGTTTCGGGAAAATGAGTCATTTTTCGAAAAACATTTTCCTTTTCCAGTGTTTGGTTGCATTTGGAAAACTGTTTTGGTGTGTTTGGTTCATTTTCTGGAAGATGAGTAGAATGGTATAATTAAATATTTTAATTATTTTATTCTGAATAAAAAATATAATTTTAACTCTTAAAAAAAAAAAAAATTATGGCTTCCGGCGGAAACCAAGGCTAAGGTTTCGGCGGAACTGGGTTCCGTCAGAAACCATAGCTATGGTTTCTGGCGGAACCCAGTTCCGCCAAAATCTTTAAAAAAAAAAAATGAAAGAGCAGTGGCGGAAAACGACTTCCGTCCAAATTTGGCGGAAGTCATTTTCCGCCAAATTGAGCTCATTTTTCCCAGTCAACGGAAAATGTTTTCCGTTTACTGGATTTTTCAAGTGTAGCCAAACACCAAAAACTCAAAAAATGACTTCTAAAAGTCATTTTCAGGGTTTCCAAACACAGCCTTAGAAAAAAATAATGCTAAACTCATAGATCATTAGTTTATCTATAATAACAAGTACACTTCTAAAGGTAAAATTCTCTTTCATATATCTTGATTTCATTAAAAAAAAAAAAAAGTGAATGAAAATTATAATTTACTTTTTTATTAATTAAAACTTTAAAAAGGTAATAAATTACATGTAGTATTAGTATAACTAGTAATTCACCCGCGCAATGCACGGAAAAAATTATGTTATTATAAATATAAATAAAAAATAAAAATATTTTAAATTATTTAATATAATAATATTTTGAGTTTCCATTGGTCAAGTATTTATTATTTTTATAGAATACAAAATTACAATTAAAATTAAAATTAAAATTTTGTATGATTAATATAATCTCTAATTATGTACATATTCAAATAAACTTATAGAGAGAATTTACATAATTACATTGATTTATTCTTAATTGTATTTCATCTATATTATAATTTTCACAATACGAATAATAACTAAGATAATTACATTTAGAAAGCAAATTTCAAATTTTGTATGAGTAAATTTAAACTCTAATTGAACATATTTTTTATATGATTATATAATATATTCTTTATGCACATGTCATTCCATAAACCCAAATGTCATTCTATAAGCCCAAGACCACTTTTTGTGGAGATAATTCAAATGTATTTTTTTTTTCTTTTAAAAGTCTTAAGTTTAGAAATGCAGAAAAACATTAAAGACCCATAGGATATATACATTTATATATATATATATATATATATATATATATATATATATATATATATATATATATATATATATATATATATATTTAAATTTTTATTTATGACTCAAATGATTTTTTTTTTTTTTAATTCTGAAGTCCAATAAGTGACCCACGTCCCGCGGCATTTGCTTTATTCATCCCTTCTCGCTTCTGCCATTTCTTTGAAGCATTTGAGAGGGAGAAAAATTATATGTAGACGCTTACATTAATTGCACTGTTTCAGATATCGAATAGGCTTTCATCGAAAAGTTAATTAATATTGTAATTCAAAGAAGCACCATAAATAATAAAAGCATATCAAATAGACTTTCATTGTAAAGCCAGAGATTTAATTAATATTTCATCGTTTCATATTTTCTATTAATCGGGAATCGGAATCCTTAATCATAATATCATAACATTTAATAACTCCATTAATTCAATAAATGTAATCCTTTGTTATGGGCGAGAAAAAAATAGCTATTTTATTTTTCAAATGTTGTTTTTTTTTTTTTTTTTTTTTTTTTTTTAGTAAAGGATGTTGTGGCTATTTTATATTAATAAGGATAGAGACAATAATTATAACAAGAGTAAATACCCAAAATGGTCCCTCAACTATAGCTAAATTCACAAATTGGTCATTGACTTTCATTTTTAACCAATTAAGTCCTTAACTTTGCAATTTTAACACAATTTGGTCCTTCGAACACTTATGCATTAACGCCCGCGCCCGCGCCGTCATCGACCATCTCCAGAAGAACCTGTAGCTCTCATCGGAGCACATGGAGGCCTCCAGGATGACGCTGCACCGGTTCGGAAACACGTTGTCTTCTTCACTCTGGTACGAACTCAACTACATTGAATCCAAAGGGAGGATGAAGAAAGGCGATAGGATTTGGCAGATTGCTTTCAGCGGTGGATCCAAATGTAACAGTGCGGTCTGAAAATACAACCAGAACCTTAAAAAGTCGACAATGGACCATGAAATTACATATATATCCTCAAAAATCACAGTCAACAAACGGTCAAATAGACGGAAGACCAAATCGTGTTAAAATTGCAAAGTTAAGGACTTAATTGGTTAAAATTGAAAGTCAAGGACCAATTTGTGAATTTAGCTATAGTCGAGTGACCATTTTAGGTATTTACTCTTATAACAATAATTACTCACTAAAATAATAATTGTAACATTAATTACTTCCCAAACCATATAGCTTTATTATAGTTGAGATGAAAAAACAAGAGTTAAATTCACCAGAGGTCCTTGTTTTTTGTAGCAATTTCAAATTTAGTCCTAGACTATCGTTTTTGTCATTTAACATTTCAGATTATTATTTTTTGGATACTTTTAGTCCTTATGACTTTTCCTATTTTTAGTAATGGTACTTCTGTCTTTTTATATTTTTTTTGTTATTTTTTCAATTTCAACCGGTTTAATTGGTTTAGCACTTTAGATAACCTCTGATTTTTAGTAACCATATTTTCAACCGAGTTTTAGTAAAGTCCTAACCAATTAAACCGGTTGAAATCGGAAAAATAATAAAAGAAAAATATGAAGGGACAAAAATATCATTATTAAAAATAGAAAAAGTCATAAAAATGATTAAAAGTGTACAAAAAATAATAGTTTGAAATGTTAAAATGTCAAAAACGATAATTTGGACTAAATTTAGAATTGACACTAAAAACAAAAGATATACGGTGGAATTAACTCAATAAACAATGCTGCAATTTTATTAACTTGCTACATCCAAGTGTTATTATGACATAATTTCAGGGCTGAGGCCATGTGTTTGAGTGCTTCTTTGGATCAGCAGTGCAGATGCTAATGATGCTCAATTTTTAGATCCATTTGATGCGGCCATTTGTTTCCTTTTGCAAGAGGGAGTAAATCTGGCTTCTTCTCCTCTCCTCCCCTCTTTCTTCCCCAATTCTTCCTCTATTGAATCTTGATTTGTAACCGAACCCTAACCTCTCTCCATAGCTCGGCATTGCTTAATCATTTGCCTTCCTTAACCCGTTATTCATATCAATCCCTTCTCCAGCCATTTCTGGCCTTAATGTGCTTTGCCACCTTCAGAGATTGATCAAGGGCAAGTTCCCTTTCCATCATTCAAGAAGTGGGTATGCTGCAAAATCCCCCTTTTTTTCTTTTTTTTTTTTTTAATGTAATTTTTAACGCCAAGTTTACTTCTTTTTTTCTTTTTGGGTGGGGGACTCTAGCTTTTGTTCTTGAATGCCTAATTATTCGATGCTTTGCTTGTAATTGGATGTTATTGTTTATCTTTATTAATTTATTTAGAAATGAGACTCAAGATTGGCTTTGGAAGATTCTTATAATAATTGGATTTAATAATAATATGTTTTCTTAAATGGGTTGGACTCCAAAACCGTAATCTTAACCTTTTTGTTATGTGCAATAGCACTGCCTGTCCTTTATGTGAAGAGCCAACAAGTTAGAGACAAGATTTTGCTGTACTAGGAACAGTTTACACTTTGTTTGGAAGCTTTGGTGAGGATTATTATAATAAATAAGAGCCCTAAGTATATGCATAAGTTTGTATGATTTATTTCACACTTTCTTAAATGACTTACTAGTTATCCGAATCATATATATTACTTTCAGGTTTGAGCTAAAAGGAGAATCTAGTGAGGGTGTGGGAGCTGAGTAAGGGTGAGGAAATAGGAGAAGGAAGGGCTCTATATCGGGTCCTTAAAGTCGCCATTATTGGTATAATAACTGCGCAAGCTTCAACATCATTTGCATAGTGGTGATTTGAGGCTCCTTTTTCCTGTCGAATTGCTTAGTTTAAGCTTTTATCCAAATACTACCTGTCCTGCAGTTCGAGTTAGCTTTTGAAAGAATTGTGTTTCCTTGGGAGACATAAATAGTTATGGTTCTATAGCTGCATTGCTACACAGTATAGAAGATGGCTGAAGATGAAATACCCGATGATTACCTTTTCAAGATTGTTATGGTTGGTGATTCAGCTGTTGGGAAATCAAATTTGCTTGCTAGATTTGCTAGAGATGAATTTTATTCTAACTCAAAATCAACAATAGGAGTAGAATTTCAGACCCAGAAGATGGAAATAAGTGGGAAGGAAGTTAAGGCGCAGGTATGGGATACAGCAGGTCAGGAACGGTTTAGGGCCGTCACTTCTGCATATTACAGGGGTGCAGTTGGAGCTCTTCTCGTCTATGACATCAGTAGACGATTGACTTTTGAGAGCATTGGGCGATGGCTTACTGAGCTTCAGAGTAAGTGATATGATGTTAATTTTTGTTTTATACCTAGTATTAAGTTTAAGAATCTATTTATGTGATGCCATGTTATTTTTGTGCTTATTTTTCAATTTTCACTATTCCTTAGGAAATATTTTGGAGTTAATTCCACCAGAGATCTCTTGTGCAATTCCAAATTTAATCCCAGACTATTGTTTTTGTCATTTAACATCCTAGATTATCAATTTTTGGACACTTTTAGTCCTTGTCATGACTTTTCCTATTTTTAGTAAGGACATTTTTGTCTTTTCTATTTTTCTTTTGTTATTTTTTCTAGTTTCAACTAATTTAATTGGTTTAGAACTTTAGGTAACCTCTGATTTTTAGTAACCATATTTTTCAACCGGTTTTTAGTAAAGTCGTAAACCAATTTATCCGGTTGAAATCGGAAAAATAACAAAAGGAAATTATGAAGAGACAAAATGCCCTTACTAAAAATAGGAAAAGTCATGAAAAAGACTAAAAGTGTCCAGAAATTAATAGTCTGGGATGTTAAATGGCAAAAACGATAGTCTGGGACTAAATTTGGAATTGTCACCAAAGACTAGGGACCTCTGGTGGAATTAATTCAAATATTTTGCATTGATAATACCTAAAAATCTGCAATGTTTCAGCTCAAGAATTTTGCTTTATTGAATGTCGTTAGTATAATTTATCAGCACACTTGTATACTTCGCCTCTTATTCTATAAATTAAAGTAGGTAAAGGATGCTTAATGTTGATGGGAAAGATGATTAATAGGGAACTATGCTGAGTTGTATTATGTGAAATGAGTTCTGGTTGAACCTTATTTCTTTCCTTGTTGAACAGATCACTCGGATATGAATATAGTTACAATACTAGTTGGCAACAAATCCGATCTCCAAGATGCCCGGGAAGTCACAACTGCTGAAGGCAAAGCCTTGGCCGAAGCTCAGAGTCTATTTTTTATAGAAACTTCAGCTCTCAATTCATCAAATGTGACTGCAGCTTTTGAAACGATTGTTAAGGAAATCTACACTATCTTGAGCCGGAAGGTGATGCAATCTCAAGAGCTCAAAAATGGCAATACTGAACGGTTATCAAGTGGAAAGGCCGTTGTTTTGGAGGGCGAAGAAAATAAAGAAGGTGCTGAAGCAGCAGCAGCAGGGGAAGAAGCGCAAGCTGGATGCTGTTAATCGTGAAGTTTAGGAAGAATACTCTCCCTCCCCATTGTCACCTCACCATATGTGTGTAAAACCTTCCAAGGTATAAGAATCTCCCGTGTTGTAATCAAGATTCTTGTTTTTTTTTTTGAAAACAAGATTCTTGTTGTCACTCAAACACATGCAGAAAGTAATATATGAAGTGGAGTTGGGGAAAAGAGCCATTTTGGGTAGTGCAAGGGACTGAGTTTGTTGTTTCTGTAACATACAATTTTGGTTTGAGCCATTTATTGCTTTTCTTCTTTTGGTTGCAAATGGAGGGCTTTCCTACTTCTTTTCATTTCCCTTCTTTTCTTTAACTTTCTTGCATCTGTGTTGCTTCACCAAGCTATAGTTACTGAATGGGAAATTTTACAATATTGTACTTGAAAATGATGTATTCTCCAAATGAAAAGTGGTAAGGTATATTTCTAACTTTTATAAGTTGGATGAGTGATGAACATTCATTACTTTATATTTTTAAAATACGGTGGTGTAAGAAAAGTACTTGATGTTTTTAAGTATTTTGTAGTAGTTATATTTGAGATAATTGGATATTCTGAGTATCATTGTTGTGCACTTGTGGTTGTGCATCTTAAGTTCCTATTTCTTATTAATTACGTAGTTAGTAAAAAATTTATAAATATTAGGTTACTTGAATATTAAAATATATAAATTTGTAAATTAATTGTATATTTCAAATAATATTTTATTTTATATTATCATAAAATGGTCCTGCAGATTGACTTCATACATCTAGGGGTGTTCAATCGGTTAACCGAACCGAATTAACCGAAGTTTTTTTTCCTTTAACCGTTAACCGAACCGAAGTTTGCTCTACCGAATTCACCGAACTGAACTTTTTTTCGGTTAATCGGTCGGTTAACCGATTAACTGAACTTTTTAAAGCTAAAATTTAAAATTATAAAAATAACACCTAAAATAATAAATCCAATTAAAATAAATACATATCATAATAAATTCATAACAAAATATAAAAAAACATTAATTATAAACTCCAAACATCCATAACTTCAAATTAGTATTTATATTTATATTATTATTTTTATATATATTAAAAACTTTGGTTAACCGACCTTTCGAACCGAATTAACCGTTAACCGAAGTTTTAAAATTCCTTTAACCATTAACCGAACCGAAAAAGTTCGGTTCGAAAACGGTTAACGGTCGGTTAACCGAAAATTATCCGAAGTTTGCACACCCCTACATACATTAATTTCCTGGATCAACAATAAAGTTACATTTCATAGACAGAACAAAAATTGAGTTCCAATTTTATTGAATACATTAATTATGCTAAACGCCTAAATTTAACTCAAGGGAAAGACTGATATACATATGCAAGAATATAAACTTAGGTGAGGGCAGTAGGTGAGTCTTGTTCGATTGTAGATTTGTAGGCGAGGCAAGAGTGCCAAAGCAAACAACCAGTGTTCGTTTGCGATTAGGAATTTAGTAACTTATTATTATTATTATTATTATTATTATTATTATTATTATTATTATTAAAATCAAATAGTATTCGGTTCGGTTCGGTTTGGTTTATTATCGGACCGTTCAGTATACAAGAATCCATTACCGTTCGGTTGTTAGGTATATTACCAAACCGAACTAGTTTGGTTTGCGAAAATCAAACCGAATTGCCCACCCCTACAGGGAGCTATTTCATCCTAGACAAAGACAAGCTTCTACTAGAAATTTTAGTGTAAGATGATATATGTAAGTGGTTGTTTTGTGGTATAAATATATGTAGGTCAATTTCAATTTTGGGTTAGGTCAAAGTAGATTCAGATTCTCCCAAATGAGACGACGAAGAAATCGATATATTGTATGCTCAAAATAGATAATGACTGAATGAGAGATTGAGTCACAAAGTTGACACATTTGAATTGTAAAAATGGAGATGGGAAGACTTAGGAAGAAATATTTATCCCACATTGGAAATGGGAAGTCAGTTTTGCACTAGTATATATACAAATCCCTTTTTAAGGGGGTATGAATTGTATAGCATAAGTCTCTCTCTCGCATGCAATGCGGTGCAAATCAAATCCCAGAATGAACCTAAAAAGGCTTTAGGTGCTTATGACGGTACCATATAATTTCATTTTTAAGAAAAACGCGTCATTCCAGTTTTAAAAAAAAAATTGATTTTGTCTCGCCGTTAACGGCGTTATTCGTTTGTGCCATTATGAACGTACAGTTATAGCATTATGAATGTAAGTTATAAAATTATAAATACAGAATTCTGACATTATTAATTTACAATTATGAACATATAGTGATAAAATTATGAACATAGAGCTCTAAAATTGCGAACATGGAGCTTCGAAAATTATGATTTTACAATTATTGAATTATGAATGTACAGTTACGGAATTATGAATGTACAGTTATGCAATTATGAATGTACAGTTATGCAATTATGAATATACAGTTATAGAATTATGAACACAAAGCTCTGACATTATGAACTTACAATATGCACATATACTGATAAAATTATGAACATAGAGCTCTAAAATTGTGAACATAGAGCATCGAAAATTATAAAGTTACAGTTATTGAATTATGAATATACAGTTACAGAATTATGAATGTACAGTTATTGAATTATGAACATTATGAACTTACAATTATGAACATATAGTAATAAAATTATGAACATATACTCCTATAATGAATCTGAAATAAAAAAATAAATAAAATAAAAAAAAAAAAAAAAAAAGAGGCTGGACACGAGTCCAGAGCATAACGATTGGGGTTGAATATATTAGGACTCTATCATCATTAGTGTTCGTTACCTATTATTATTAGTAATTAGTGTTCGTTACCTATTATTATTAGTATTCGTCTTGTAATAGGTTTACTATTCACTACTATATATACTCCTGTACAGACTCATTATTATTCATTCAGATATATCGTATCCTCATCTGGTATCAGCAGGTTTCTCTCTCCTCTCTCTAATGGCGCACCTCGGATCTGATGACGGCTCTGTTGGTAGTTCTGAACGGACCGTTTCCGAGGCCGCGCTTGTTGCACCGCTGCAGTCGGGGGTGTCTTTCTCTTCGGCGCATCACTTCGTCTCCATCAAGTTGACATCCCGCAATTTTTTGTTTTGGCGTACTCAGCTTCTTCCATTCTTGGATGGCCAAGGGTTGTTGGGTTTTGTCGATGGTACTTCGGTATGTCCGCCGATCACCGCGCTTGCCGTGCCGCCTGCCGAGGGAGCTGTTCCTGCCGTGCCTTCGTCGGCTTCGTCTTCCGCTGCTCGGAGTGCATGGCTCCGTCAAGATAAGGTCGTGCTCTCCTTATTAATCTCATCCTTGTCCGACGAGATGATGCACCTCGCAATCGGTAAGTCCACTTCTCGGCATTTGTGGTTGGCAATCGAACAGGTTCTTGGTTCGACTACACGGGCTCGTGCCCTCCGGTTGGTGGGCGAGTTGCAAGGATTACGGCAGGGGGATGCTTCGATCCCGGACTATCTTGGCCGTGCGCAGGTGCTTATCGAGGATTTAGCGCTTGCCGACCGTCCGGTGACGCTAGAGGATCAGAATATGTATATATTCCGAGGCTTGCGGTCCGAATATCGTCCTTTGGTGGCGTCGCTCACAAGGGGTGCTCCGGTGTCTCTGCCCGAGCTATCCGATTTTCTTGTTTCGCAGGCTTTTATATGTGCCGATGATGCTGGTGATGTTGCTGCTGCTCCGGTCGCCATGGCGACTCAGCGAGGTGGAGGCCGTTCGGGCAGGCAGCAGCGTGGAGGCGGCAACCGCGGCCGTGGTCGCGGCAAAGGGCGTGGCCGTGGTCGTGGCGGTGCCGGGGCTGTCCAGTGCCAGATCTGCTCCGGCGAGGGCCATTCGGCCGCTTCGTGCTTTCGCCGGTACGATGGAGCTCCGGGACCGAGAGCGCATGTTGCGTATCCTGTGGATGATGCGGCTTCGGTTAGCACTCAGCAATGGTTTCCCGACACTGGTGCGTCGAACCATGCCACCCCAGATCCGTCTTTGATGTCCTCGACGGTCTCTTATAACGGTCCGGATCATCTTCGTGTTGGTGACGGTAAGTGTTTACCTATTGTTGGTACTGGTTCGTCTTCGGTAGCCTCTTCTAAAACACTGTTTCGGTTGTCTGATGTTCTTTTTGTTCCTGGGCTTTCTGCGTCTTTATTATCCGTGCAACGGTTTGCCCGTGATAATAATGTATTCTTTGAATTTCACCCTGATTGTTTCTTTGTGAAAGATCGTTCAACCAGGAAAGTTCTGTATAGAGGGCAGGCTTCGGGGGGTCTCTATTCTTGGCCTGTTTCTCGTTCGAGTCCCGCTGCGTTAGTGGCTTCGCATGTCTCCTCTGACGTTTGGCATGGTCGGTTGGGTCACCCTCATCCTCGTGTCTTGCGACAGATTTTGAATTCGTGTTCCATTGATTCTAGTTTTAGTAATAGTTCGGTGTCATGTCGTGCTTGTATGCTTGGGAAATCATCTCGGTTTCCCTTGCCTCGTGTCAATACTACTACGTCGCATGTTTTAGAGCTTATTTATACTGATATTTGGGGCCCAGCGCCTTTTCTTTCTGTCAGTGGTTTTCGTTATTTTGTTTTGTTTGTTGATGACTACACACGCTATGTATGGTTTTATCCTATGCGATTAAAAACTGATGTGTATGCTATCTTCGAGCAGTTTCGGTCACTAGTTGAGCGTTCATATGATCGTAAGATTGTCTCTATACAATCTGATTTAGGGGGAGAGTATAAACGGTTGCACCGTACTTTTGTCTCTTTGGGTATCAATCATAGGCAATATTGTGCCTATACCCATGAGTAGAATGGTAGAGTTGAGCGTCGGCATCGTCACGTTGTGGAAACGGGTCTGGCTCTCTTGACTCAGGCTTCGGTTCCACAGCGATATTGGGATTATGCCTTTGAGACTGCGGTCTATCTCATCAATAAAATGCCTACTCGAGTTCTAGACAATGTCAGTCCTCATTATCGTTTGCATCATTCTAATCCTTCTTATTCCTTCTTACGTGTGTTTGGCTGTCTCTGTTATCCTCTGTTGCGCCCGTACAA